ACCCATTTCTAGAGTCTTTGTTTTCATGCTCCCTTTCAAAACTTCTCTCTCAATTTTTTTTTAAACAAATACGCACACACACATAAAACCCTCGCAAAACGAGGAGTTTAGCTAGAACATTTTAAACTCTGGCTATTGTGGGAGAAAGCAAAAGACACAGAGCAGTAATTCAAGAGCTTCAGATTCACCTCAGTCCACAGTAAGGCTCTCCGCCTTTGCACAGCGATCTGAATGCCACACTGAGGGTCACAGCTTTTCTTTCAATTCCCAGCTTATGTCGCTATGTGTTGCCACCTTGATGCTATTTAGACAGTTTTCTTTTAATGCACAGAGAGTGAACTGTTCTCGTTTTAAACAGGCTTTTATTTGACAAGAGTAGGTTCCTTCAGATCTGAAGCTCTGCTAACTGGGTTACAAATGTATCACACTCTGCTATAATCAACCATGTTGTAAATTTGAGCAACACTATGTACACCTAGACATTCGAAGAAAAAAAAACGCACTGAAAGAATTTATTAGGGTCACATAGCTCAGAACATTCAAAAGCAAAACTGTTTTCTGCCTAACAGCTAAGGAAAGAGAGCTTTGAATTTCAGCTTGCAAGTGTAATGATTTTCTGGTTTAAACATTTAACTGCATGCTGCTGCTGTATCCTTGCTGAGCCTCAGAATGAAAGCTAAAAAACTAAGAGCCCTACTGTATGGTCTTTGTTTCCAGCGACGTTCCTATGAGAAAACCTTATTAATGAGCTTGCAAACGAGCACCCAACAGGGAAGTGTCACAAACAAGAGCAGCTAATGCCCCAGAAAATCAAATAACTGAACACTTGGCTGACTGTGGTGCCTTTCATATTTATAATAAAAAGGGGGGAGGGGGAACTTTAATTCACTAATTCTGAAGGGGTCAACACCTTGCTGAACAAAACAGCTCATTTATTTATGTTCAGAAATCTCCAGATGATAAATTACATTGATGTTAATCACTTCAGTGCATACTGCACAATTAATATCTGTACTCACTAAAAATTTAAGAATTATTAAAAGTATGACAGCATACACATCTGGCTGATTTTTCACATAATTGGGTACAACAATTTCTCCTGGTACCACAAATAAGGGTCCTAACAAAAAACACTGCAAAATTCTGTGTTCAATTAATTAGGAGTTAAATCCACAAGACAAAAGCAATTCTAGGTCGTAGTTCAAGCCTTGTCTTTTATGCAATATGTTAGCACTATGCTCATTTTGTCTCCCCTCCTTTTCCTGTCACGTTTAAAGTAAGATACTTAATGGCATACAATGTAGATTTTCATTATTTCATTTCCTTTTTTAAAAATGACATTTTTAAGAGGACATAATTGATATAGAATTCAAATCCATTATGTGTCGTTTAACTCTGTTCACATCCTTTTAGATGAGATGGAGAGAGGTTTCCATTAGCCTTCATGTGGCAAAATGAGCCAAGTGAGCACACCTAACACTACTCCTATAAGGTCTGATTTGCCCTCAGGTAATCTTATTCACCCAGGGCAGAGCAATTCTTAATCTGAGGTTCATGGGAGAACCCAGTATTTCCTGTATTCTTATGTTACCCAGTAATATAAGAAATCTTGGTTAGGTGGCAAAGAAAGAGCATTTAAAACTTAATCATTGTATATTTAAGTTGTATATTTAATTGAACTAATATTTACTAAATATACACAGCAAATAAAACTCATAATTTTATAGATTCTTTTTTTACATAGGTCTTGGGTAGGTTATAGCAATAAAGTGACTTAAAGATAATTCTAAATGGGATAAGAATAGAGATAACCTGTTGAGATAGGGTAAAATTTGTGAAAGTAGCCCTCAAATAACTGAAGTTGGGAAAACTCTGTAGGATCAACAGACTTAAATTGTGAGCAAAATTGTGAATATGTGATTTTTGTTAATCTTTTCCAGGTCTATAGCTATCAAAGGATTTTTAAAGGAGTCAGTGATCTCCAAAAGCTTAAGAACCACTGAATCCAAGGGTCTGATCAATTAATAAGTAATGGTCTAATGTTACTCCTGACAGGGTATGCAAAATAATTCAGCATCCATGCAGAGTGGCTATTAAATCTCATGCATTAAAGTATCTTTTTTTCTCATGGCCATCGAGACATGGTGTAGCTTGTCTGCAGAGAGAGGACTCTTAAGGGGAGAGTGGAGTTGCACCACCAACACCACTGGCCAATAACTGATGAAGCTTTGGTGCCCAATGACTGAGGGCCTTACGCATGGGGCTTTTTGTTATGGATAGCTGTTGGCATTCAAGGAGAGTACAGCTGGTAGGTAATGACCTAGAGAATTTCAGTTGTGTTTGAAGAAGCTACTTAAGGAATTCCTGGCTAACTCAGCAAAGGTCTCAGTAGTGCTCTAGGAATGGAGGGCAGCGAACCATCAAAGTGACTTTCTTGAGCACAGAGAGTTTCATTTAGGATGCCAAACCAGACTCTAAATTCCATTCAGAATAATATAATGCTTTGTGATTCTTAATCTTCTTTCATGCAAAGACTTTTTTTAAAAAGCACACATTCCAAAATATGGAGTATCAAGGATAAAATGTTTGCTTGGCTTATGTTGGATATAAGAACAATCTTCCAGAAAAAGATGCCATATTAGAGTTAAAAATGACCAATAGGTGTGTCTTCATTTTTGGAAGTCATTAGAGTTACTTTCCTGCAGTTAAGGGCTAGCAGTATTTTGTAAGTACAGGGGATTCAGATGTGGTGCTTTATTCCTTTTATTAAGGGACAAATGTCACTTGAATCTATGGAATATGGAAGACACGGCTTATAAATATCACGGTCAAATCCTCCAAGGGGCTGGAGGTATAGGTATAGTGCTTGAAATATTTTGTATTTGAGAGCAAGTGTAATTTTGTAGGTGGGTGGGGTTATATCTTTTTAGGAAATACTCTGGGAAGGTACTAAAAGAATTTAGGGGTAAGAACTGGGTGAATATCTCTACTCAGGTCTCACAAAAGAGCTAATGTATTATTAAAGCTAATGGTCCCCTACAAGGGAAGTTAATGGATATTAAGTTTGCTTAAATGAATTACATATTAACAAAGTCAAAAGAAATCTGCTATCTGCCAATTTAGATAATATCTGATCATTTATGTTTTCCCATTATAGGGACATTACACCACAATAGTTTCAGTGATATGAAAATTATAAGCATGATGCCCATAATGAAGCTACATAATGAAGTAGATGAAATGAATTAAGAAGAAAAACCTGCATTATGTAATGTTAAACTGAGCCAAGCTTTCAGAGTAAGGAAAGCTTGGAATGGGATTATGGTCCCTTGGAAGAAAGTTTTTGTAACTTTCTTCATTCCTTGTTTTGCTCAATTTAAACACATGACAAATACTGTAGTAGGTTAAATGGTGGTCCCCAAAAGACATGCCTACTTCTGAATCCCCAGAAGCTTCCTAATTCCTGGTGGCCTCACTGGAAAAGGGGTCTTTGCAGATGTAACTACATTAAAGATCTTGAAAATAAGAACATTCTGGATTTATCTGGGTGGGCCCTAAATCCAATAACAAGTGTCCTTATAAGAGACAAAAAGAAGATGGGGAGATGGCCATGTCAAGATGGAGACAGAAAGTGGAGTGATGTGGCCACAATGCAAGGAACTCCTGGAGCCACTAGGAGCCAGAAAGGACAGGAAGGTCCTCTACTAGAGCTCTGAGAGGGAGTCCGGTCCTGCCCACATCTGAACTCAGACCTCTGTCTCCCACAGCTGTGAGAAAATATATTTCTGTTATTTTGTCACCAAGTTTGTGGTAATCTGTCACAGCAGCCCTAGGAAATAATAGAAGAATTCACCCGATCATTGCCATCCAACCAAACTCTTGTAACATTTTCATTGTGTACTCAGATATGCCCTGGAACTTATCAGAGGCCAAGTTACAGAAGTCTTTTGATTAAAAAGTGAGAAGTAGCTTCTCAGACACACCCTTGGTGCAAGGATGGTTTTGTGCAGAAAAGCTGTATTTTTCACAAGTAGGAGAGCCCTGAAAAGATGATGAAGAGAACATCTTTTGTCCACAGGGCACAGTGAGGAGATAACCTCACTCGCCACGATACAGCTTTTATTGACGAAGCAAGCCATTGAGACTGTAGTGCTCATCCCAAAGAATTCTGCTTTTAAACTCACTGTATAATTTAAGCTGAAAAATGGAAGAGAATGTGCAATTTAAAAACAAAATGTTGATATAGAATGGAAATAAAATCTCTTCTATAAAAAAATTCAGTACTTATGATGGGGTTAATAAAGGTGGGGGGCACTGCCCTAGATTTTAAAGTTGACATAGAAATTCCTACAGTCAATATTCACAAAATTTTATTAAGTCATGTGCTATAGCAGATTGGAATCATTGTAAAGTTTTATATGTAGGTTAAATCTAGTATTTTCAAAATTCTCAGTGGCACTCAGTAATACGGCAGGGTTTCAGTAAAATCATCCTTTGCTTACTTTTCTACCAACAAGATAAAAATTCTATCTATACTATCTAAAAACTATGTATTCAGTAAATGGCTTCCAAAATGTTTTAAGCAACTGCTACCCTGTGTTCTCAGAAATGAATACTCGGGTCCTGCTACAGTGTGAACATTTGTGTCCCCTTAGAATTCATGTTTATATCTCAATGCCCTGTGTGACATACTAGGAGGTAAGACTTATGGGACGTGCTTAGGTCATGACGGCAGAGTCCTCGTGATAGGATTAGTGCCCTTCAAGAGGAGGTCCCAGAGAGATCTTTAGCCCTTTACCATGTGAGGGCGCAGTGAGAAGGTGTCAGCTGTGAACCAGGAAGAGGGCTTTCACTAGAACACGGGTGAGCTGGTGCCTTGATCTCCGACTTTCAGCTTCCAGGACTGTGAGAAATACATTTCTGTTGTTTCTAAGCTACTCAGCTACTCAATCTGTGATATTTTGTTACAGTAGCCAGAATGGCCCAAGATGGGTACTCACACTGTACTTCTAGATACCGCTGGGTCTGCAAGTTTCCGGTGACTGCAGGGTGCTCCACCTGACAGATCACAGGGACCCCATCATCTTCCTTGTGTACCTTCAGCATTAGCTGACTAGTCACAGTGTACATGTCTGACCACTCTTCTACCTCCGATTTGCCTGAGGGAGACAAAAATGTACCGAGAAATCTGAGTTGAGTGAATTTCTATCACTCTGTTTTTATATCTTTCCCCCTGCCATGCCCCCACATTATTATTTAAACAAAAATGATAAAAGTCACTTGGGATAGGGATACTCTGTGGATAGATGACTGAAAAAATCATCATTTCCCACTTTTCAAATTTGCAGGGTTGTATCTAGAATATAGTTCAACTGCACACAATATACACCATTTTTATTTAAATATATTTCATATGTTTCTTCTGTCTTAAAACCTGCCACAAAAAGGCAGCTGAAAGTTGAACGTTTTTGACACCTGACTGTTCAAGGCATTGAGGAGGAGGAAAAGAAAGGAGCTTTCCACCCTTACGATCACCTGAACTTGAAACACCTATGAGGCTGACGTCTGGTTTAAAAATTCAAGGACATCATTCAAATCCCCCACATAATTTACTCAGAAGAGGAGGTATAAACAACCCCCTTACCCCACCCCCATCAGCATCAATCACGTGAGAAAGTAACAAAATGGATTTACATCATTGAAATTGTAATTGGAATATTTAAACTCTGAGACTTTTGAAAAATCACAAAAAAATCCAGTGGCAGTGTGCAGAGGAAAGTAAGCTATAGGCTTCAGGCCAGATGGGAGGCACATCCAAGAACATCCAAAAAAGGAGAAGGAGGCTTCCGGAGGATGAATAGGCCAAGGCGGCCCCTTTCCTGAACTCAGCACTCCCTGGGACAAGATGCACCATTAACTTTCTTTTAATGTTTTGTACTTATTGGTACACATTTAATGGCTCAATTCACTTAGATAGAAAGGCAGAAGGGAAATGAGAAACTCCTTCCTTCCAAAACTATACCTAGGAAATAGGAGATTAAAAGAGAGCAAGCATTTTGAAACATAATCTGTCATATATAGATTTATCTGTTTCTAGATATAGATTTTTATATCCCCTTTCTAAAAGGACTTATTCTTTTCTTCCTGGCACTCCTTATTTATTTAATAAGCACATAAAGAGCATTTACTTTGACTTTACAAATATTCTCTCATTTCACCTTCATAAGAATCACATACTGTATGTAATATTAATATCCTCTTATTAGAGGGAATGGAGGCACACAGCTAGCATTTCTGTCAAATGACCAGAGGAGTTCAGCCCCTAAATCCTTTGTGCTGGCTGCTACTGGAAAAGCAACCTTCTGAAAAGGAAAGAACTGGAATGCTGATATGCGTGAGGACTTAGGATAATTAAGAAAAAGGGTCAAATAGGGGATAGGCTGTCTCCTTTAGCCAGTAGAGTGGGTAAGGTAGCAGATATTTGAGGACCCAGGGACTAAACCCGGGCTGACCTAGCCGGGGAGGAGAGACAATGGGAGCAGGGCTGCAGGAGCTGCCTGTGTTGCCATCGCAACATCAGAAACTTTGCCAAAGAACTAACGGTAAAATTGGCAACAGAGTTAAGGGTGTCACAGAAGGGATGTCTGCAGGTTTGCAAGATAAAATTCTTAGCTTTGCATAGTCACTTTTGTAGGAAAGCACATTGTCAACGTAGTTGACAGTTCATTAGATGTTTGAATGGTGACTTGGAATTCACCATGGTGAAGAATGTGATACATTTTTCTTAAATGTCCAACATGAGAATTTGGAGTTCTGACCCACCTTGAGTCACAGGGTAAAAGTAATGACAACTGAGGGAACAACATGGCCAGCCTGAGCTTGGGGACAACTTTAATGGTAGTTCTCCTGGTCTAAAGAGTTCCAGTATATAGGTCCAGTATATGTTGAATTTATCTTTCATTTCCACAAAGATATATCCCTGCTGGAATCCAGTGGTGACTAAATAGTTCAGGACACACAAGGTTCACCTTACCTTTTAACTCCTTGTTCCCTTTGAACCATCTGATAGTCGTAGCTGGTTTGCTGGCCATGGCAGTGCAGTTGACCTCAATCTCCTCGCCTTCCACGGCTGTGTCTTTCTGGATATCGATCATCAGATTACGTGGAGGGACTACAAATTAAGCATGTGTGCTCTTTAAACATAGAATCTATTTTTGGACGTATTCTTCTACTCATCAAAGACTAGCACCACTGCTATCAAAATAAGAGACAAATAACAGACATTTCTGATGGGAATTTAAAACAAACAAACTGCCACTGGATGGGAAAAAAAAAGAAATACAAAGCTATCATCAAATAAAGTGAATTATGTGCAATCACTCAATTTAGAATTTCCACACAGCATATCTTAGAAATGACGAGCCTTGCACACCTACATTGTCAGTGCCCAAGTTGTAACAATATGGATATTAGTTAAAAATCAGTATTTAAAAAATTGATCACAAAGTAGATATGAAAGGAAGAGGAGTACACACAATTTAAATGATCATCTTTACTCAGAAGTCTCTGAAAGAAATATTTCTTCTTAAACTCAACCCCTGGATTTCAATCTTCATATGAAAGACTCCAAAGTTAACCAGCAAAGATGAAAAACTTGGAGTCCCTTAAAAGAATCACTCACCATAAACAAACAGAAAAAACTGTGCCTCAGGACCAGTTCCGTTCAATTAAAATTATTCATAGAGATCTAAAATATAATTATTACTTCTGATGGATGACAACTAATAAAATCCTTCTGCTATGAAGATGCAGTAATATAGGAAATGCCAGTTAATGTTAAGTACCTTCCCATATTCTAAATAATTCTAAGTAAATATTCTAAATCGAAGGCTCTCAATTTTGGAAAATCAAAGGTGAAAAAGACTATTAAGGGGTTGCAAGTAGTTTTATGAACCTATGCACCCCAATGTTCATAGCAGCACAATTTACAATAGCTAAGTGTTGGAAGCAGCCTAAATGCCCATCAATAGATGATTGAATAAAAAAATTATGGTACATTTACACAATGGAATACTATGCAGCAGAAAGAAAAAAAGAACTACTACACTTCGCAACAGCATGGATGGAACTAGAGACAATTATGCTAAGTGAAATAATGGTAGTTCTCCTGGTCTCAAGAGTTATAGTATGCAGGTCTAGTTCTTTTTGACCATCTGAATAAAAAGCTAATGACACATATCACTATAAACCCGCAAATCACAGAATAAGGACATGGATCAGAACAAGAAAATGCTGTTAGGCTTTGTAAGTGATGATAAACCATATTTCAATGAATATTTATGTTTTGGGGGCACGTGTTGTCTTTTCGCCCCAGGGGGCAAAAGGCAAATACCCTATGATCTCACCTATAAGTGGAATCTAACCAACAAAACAAAGATGCAAGGAAAATAAGACCAGCAACACTGAAAGGAAAAAGAAACCAACAGAACAAGAGGGAAAGAGGGAGGGGTGAGCGGGGGAAAAGGAAGGGAAGGGGCAAGTCAAGGAACATATAGCAAGGACTCACGGACAAAGCCAAAGTGGGGAAGGATTGAGGGAGGGAGAGGGAGGAGGGGGGCAGGGGAAAGTGGTAGGGGGAAGACGGAGAGAAATGTATTTGAAAAAAAAAAAATCACTCTTCTCTAAGCATATTAAGCATATATGTAACAAAACCGAAAAAATATTTTGGGGCTAAAATGTTGAATATCAAACCAAGAGTGTCTATGATGTGATGATGAAGAGGGCACGTTATCTTTTATGAAACTGAGTTGACAAACTTCATGTGAGGTTGCAAGCTTACCTCACGACTGAGCTTCTTGAAATAAAAATCAGTAAGAATACTGAATTCAATAGAATGAATCTAAGAATATGCTCCGCAACCACCATGAATAAGCAAAGACAGTTCTGAGACTTATGATTAATAAGTTTCTCAACTCAGAAGAGAAACAAGAAATTAAATATGTATAAACATGCCATCCTGACGATCAAGTTGAATAATAAATCTGATACTGCTTCAATAAATTATGGGATTAAACCACGTATTTGGGGTTTCTAACTGTTCTAACCCAATGTGAAAATTCTGCCCACAGGAAGGCTTTTACACTGAATTAAAGCAGGTGAAAACATCTATAGAGAACAATGGAAAAGTCAAAGTAAAATCATTTGCTGCTTATGATTCTCAGCAAGATAGTGTGGTGGTGGTGGTGGTGGTGGTGGTGGTGGTGGTGGTGAGGTGTAGCTATTAGAGCAAAGCAGGCCTCTTCTTTGTTCCCTGTGAAAGAGAAAAATAGGACATTTGCTCAATTGAATGTGTTGCTAAAGTGATACGGCCCAAATGAGTACTACCCTAGCTTATTTGAAGAAAAATAAGCATAAAGAGAGATAGTCTACTTTCCAGTTTGGAGCTGCACATCTGCCAGCACTTCAGGAGACACAGAACAGCAGTTATAAAAATAAACAGGAGAAGTTCAGTGAGCTGTTTCCTAAAAATCGTTCATTCTTGCTAGATGACAGTCGGGTAGGTTATAGATTTTCATCACATGTATCTAGATAGTTGGTAGGGAATATAGTGAGACAAGATATTTAGGACCAACAAATACTATGAATTATGAATACAGTATAATAGGAATATTAAAAAAATGCTGTTGTTTATGCAAATGTCAGAGGAAAAGACTGTCCAAGACTAAAGGTAGTATCTTGGTGACCTATGAGGAACAGAATAAGAGATAATAAAAAGGAAACAAGGACTAAAAAAACCAGGAATGTCCTCCTCACAAATGTAGAAATGAAAGTCAAACAATATCCAGGCAAAAATAAAGTGATGAAAATAATTTCTGATGTTGACATATACATTGATTCCCAGTGGAAAATGTAATTGATGGGATATTCAAGGAAGGTGGGCCCCCTTACGATATTGAAAGGAAAGCAAACAGCTAAAGCTACTGTAACACACACGGCTCACTTCCCTGGAAAATACTACAGAATGGGGTAGTTCAGGTTCCAGTGTGCATGCAGAACTCTGGGGAAAATGCAGTGAAGGTCACTTTGTGGTAACCTGGGAATCTTCTTGATGGGAACAGATCCAAGGAATTGTTAAAAGGTTCCAGCATGTATCACTGTCGTGTCTCAAAGGCATTTAGTCTCAAACACAGTCTTTGTCAGATACTTGTTTTTTGTGTGTTGCTGGGTATTTTTCCTTCATTCTCTCCTTTTTACATGCTGAGCCTGAAGGCATCTTAGCTTTCCTCATCACCTCCACTAGCTATTCATGTTCAGTGGTATTTCTTAGTGGAGGAAGTCTTTATTCTCTCCACAAGATTGAGATGGTTGTAAAGATGATGGCATGTTCTCTCCACATTATCAATATTGCAGGCTGGTTGAAAGTAAGGAATTAGAAAGGGGTAGATAGAAATAAGGGCAGAGGAAAATTTACAAATGTCTGTTAGACTTTGTTTAGGAGCTGACAGAGTGACTGGCAGCAAGAAAGTCCTTGTCTGGATTACCTATTGTTTAGTATTATCCATGTTGCTGCTTCTTTTTTTCTTTTTTTTCGCAACAGATATTAAGTTGACCTTTGAACATCACAAGTTTGAACTATGTGGGTCCAATTATTGCAGAGTTTTTTCAATAAATACTGTAAATATATTTTCTCTTCCTTATGATTTTCTTAATAATATTTTCTTTTCTCTGGCTTATCTTATTGTAAAAATAGAGTATATAATATATTTAACATACAAAATATGTGTTAATGGACTGGTTTGTGTTAAACTTGGGGGGGATTCTGAAGTTCTGTGTGGATTTTTGACTGCAAGGGGGCTGGCTGCCATTCACCCTCTAATAGGGTCGGCTATGCTCTAAAGCTCCCTAACCCTTCAGGGTGATTCCTGTAACAATGCTAATTCCCAGGATTATGTTCATGAAGAGCTGAAGTCATCTTTAACTTTATGGCTACGGTAAACAGGAGGAAAACTTTAAAAGTCTTGGAAAATAGGGCCAGTGTAGAAAAAGACTTGTTTATTGTTGGGAAGAACATCCTGAGAAGTAATTGAATAATTTTTTTCCAAGTCTATAAATAGTTTTCTCAAGATTGTGACCAATATTTCTGATCTTTACTAAGATTAGAAAAAACAGTCAAGTATAGTAGGAATTGTTTAGCTTTAAAATTTTAATAAAATTTGATAATGTGAATCCTAGTGGTTTATATTGACATTAGTTACAAAGTTGACTTCTCTCAGTTTTTTCTTTTTTTTAGGGCAAGAAAGCTTTGGAAAATACAAATGAAGTGATTTAAATACATCTTTCCAGGAAAAGGGAGTTGAATAAGAAAATCTTAAAGTTTATTTTGATCTATTAATTCTACCCTATTTTCCCTTTAACTTCATAATGCCTACTCTAATACAAAAGGGATCAGTAAAGTATGAAAATCCATTTATAAAAAATGAATTAAAACTGCTACTAACCAGAGAATACACTTATACATGGTCCACAAAACAGTCACATTTGGTAAAAACTGCCTGCAGCCATTAATGGAAATAACCAAAGAAATATCTAAGGAAGTGCAGAGATGAAAACCTGAATGAAAATCACACAGAAGGAAATAACAGAAAATAGCAAAGAAATGTCAATGTTCTTCTTAGCTAACCTCAAATCTATAAGAGTGCTAATTATAAACATTACACCTACAACATTTAAAAAAAATCAGCAATCTCAAGATGAGTCACCTTAATTACAACAAAAGAGGAGTCTAAAAGCTCCTCAGTACGTGAAATCTCACTCTAAGACCCTTTAAAATAATCAGTTTCTCCTGTTCCTGGAATCTTGAGAGTGAACACCAATCTTGGGAGGACAGGAGTGTAATAATATTAGTGACTATTATCAGTAACTATATTAATCTTAAAGCAGTGTATTTTCTCTCTCTTTCATCTGCTCTGATGAACAGCAGTATAAAGAGAGTCCCTACACTGTGAATTGGAGAAAGAAATGCATGCAAAGTATTATAGGAGAATTTTCCATTTTTACATGGGTAAGAAAATAAACGTAATAGTAACTAACAAATACCCATCTTTATGTCATATAATTATGCTGAATTTTTTGCTGAATGCTTCAAACAACTGATAGACACAGCACTAAAATGAGCGTTTTCAATCTATCAAGAAGTAGGACAGCTGGGTAGGTACATAGAGAGTCCTTTTCTGAGGACTGTGGATAGAAATGAAGATACTACTTTTCATTCATTATACTTTCTCAAAATTCTAAACCTTAGGAGAAAGGTTTGAATATATATCACTGGAAATTGTCAGATTTTGGAATATGACATACTCAAACGCTTATGACAACAATTTTACTCAATCAAGAAATCCTACAGTAAATTCAATAGAAAAAATATCAAATGAATGCATAATATCTGCAAAAAGAGCACCTACTAATATTACTTTCAAGTATATTTAAGTTAATGCTTCTGTACAATATAAGGAGGAACCTATTACTTCTAGAATAATCAGACCACCAAAAGGATTCCAGGTACAATGCCTATCAAAAGTCTAATGCTGGCATGCTGATTCCCAAGGGCTGGGTATACTCAGTCAAACTGGCCCAATCCAGTGGGCCAGGAAACGAATGTACCAGAGTCTGGAAACAGACAGGCAAGGTCTGCTTGCCAATGGCCAGATATACTCCTGAAAACAAAAGATGTGCATCTTCAGGGATAATATCTTAAAACAGCAGTATTCAGGATTTTACTGAAAATAACCTAGACTAGAAGATGCAAAGGTTATGAGACAGAATACTAAACTCTGTTTCAAAGTCTGTGATTCTTGATTCTTACTGTGTGTTTTGTACCTGGGAAAGATGACTGACCTCTGTTATTACCATTTCTATCTTTGAAATAAAGATAATCCTACTTAAAGGTATATGTAATAAACCATTCTGAAAATTCAAAATTCCTTAAGTACCTTCAATTTTATTGCCGCCACTTTTCTGGAAAAGCCATAAACAATGGTGGGGCAATAGGAGGATGGTTAAGTTCAAGTCTTTGAAGCTAATGACTTATACCAGTAAGCAAATAGTGTTTTCAAACACTTCTGTACAGGTAGGAGGACAGAAAATGTCAAATGCATGCTTATGATTTTGGTACATTTGCAAAATACAAAAAATAATCCCAGCAAACACTTCCATGCTTACTATTACTGCAGATTTGACATAGATTAAAGTCAAAATCAGACAAACATGAACAACTGAATGCTGCCATCATTAAATAGAGACCACATTAGAAGTTGCATGGACAGACTTGAAACATGACTTTCTAAAATCAGTATTTCTCTTACCAAGAATATACATATAAGCAGTAGAAACATGTTTTAATTTAATGAATAAAAATATTTCCCCTTTTACAGCTGTGTTTAAGTAAAGTAATGAGGCAGTAGCTGAATATGTACACCCATAAATACATATATGGTCACACACACCAAGCAAAAACGTCCTTCATATTTATCTTTCCTCTTTAATCTTCATATCATTACACCAAAAAGCTGCAGTCTGCCGCCTCAGATAGACATTGATTCATCATCTTCCTGAAGGTGTGAATCAGAGAGCTTGCCTCGTGCTGTAGTATACGTCCTTGAAAACTCAGTTTCAAAAATCCCAATCAGCTGATATTATGCACTGGAGTATAAGTTTGTCTGGAAGGGGACTAATTCAGACCGCCTTCAACACAGGGATATCTGCTATCTCAAAATACACATACAGAAGCCTGGCTACTGGGATTTTGCTGAAAGTCATAATTTGGTGATCAGAAACAAAGACTCTGAATTCTCTAGAGGTGTCCCTAGCAGCCCGTCAACAGTCCTTGCTTATTATAGTCCTTGCCTTTTTTTTCCAGAAGCCATTAATTCTTTTATGTCCAATGGTTGCAATTTGTGGCAAAGTATGTGTTCATGAGATATGATTTTTACAGCATGATTCTACAGTATAAGTAATAAACAAAGAAATAAGTAAAGCTAAAGAAAAGGAGGTCAACAATATAAAATGAGATGTAACTCAGAAGAAAAATTCATTAAACAGGTTTCATAACAAATCTCTGCTATGGGGTACAGTTGTGATAGCCTGTCTCCACCTCCCCTGCACAGAAAGAAAAAAAAATCTCTAGTAGTTAGAAGCAATGACATTTCACATGGTGAGTGATTCATTTGAGGGTTCTAAATTCTCTTGATCTTTGCTTCTGAAGACTGAGGTTTGAAACCCAAGAGCAGGTGGAATCTATTAAGACTGCTGATCGCCATTTCTTAGAGTGTTTAGTAAAAGAGGCTATTTAAAAAATTCACAAGATGGGTGGTGATTCTTCCTAAAACAAGTTTGAATAGTAAATTTTACCATGAACCTTCTCCCTGCTGCTAGAAGCCATCTGGTAGTAAGAGCCATCCCACTTGATTTCCCAGGACAAGCCCCCATGGGTTTCTTACCCAGGACTGTGATTGTGGTATAACTTTCCTGTGGGGGGTCAGTGTAGAGCTGGCAAAAATATCTTCCTTCATCAGAAATTGAGACATTTGTCAATGATACTTTGAGTTCACTGCTAGAAAAATTCAGCAACTGAAACCTGCTGTCCTTCAAAGCTGTAAAACAAAACACAGAGTTTGTGACTGTGAGAAAGACGACGGACAGTCTATTTTCCTTACCCAGGTGAGTAAAATGTCAGGTGACTAGAAAGGCAGCTAAGGAGTAAAAACACTAAGTCTTTCTGCACCTGTTGGCTAAGTACCCTTTGTACTTCCTGAATTACCATTTTGGACTTCTGTAAATAAACATACTGACAAATAACCCTGTCCAAATAGAACACATATACAGGCTCCAGCACAAATAATGCGCACTTTATATTACAAAATCTTTTATTATGAAGTCATAAGCCTGTAATTCTGTAACTAACAATGTCACACTCAAGCACACCATATAACATTTTAGGTGAAATGTTCAAATTAAAACTATAAATTATTACACCTATATTCTTACCCTACCAACCACACTCAAACAGACATTACTTGTGCTGGACCCTGTAGATGGGTGCATTTTACACACATGCATACATACGCATGCACCCTCTGCCACAATTCCAAGTGCTGTCAATTTTCAGCCCTTATTCATAAATGGTTTTGGATTTTCTATTGGAGATAGGTAAAATGAAAAGAGAAGGAAAAGGTGGGCCTGCAGTCCCCTTTGGGCACTAGAGGTTCAGGAAGTAGGACTTACAGGATTTTAAACTGTCTCTAAAAATCTGAGGTCTTAAAAACAACAGTGGTTCCAAATTAAGAGAGAAAACCAAAAATTCATTATTAGTTTCAAGTCAAAATGAAAATCATAAAATAACTATAAAAATTAATTCCATTTAATTTGGATGTATCTTTGTATTTGATGCTACTCGATATGATTTGAGGTTGGAACTGCCAAAAGTACACGACCAAGGGCCCACAGAGCCTTCCTCAGCACAGTCAGCCTCCCAGGAAGAAGCTGATTAGGCATGAGGTGGAGAGTCAGAGTCACCACAAAAACAATGTATGTGGACTGATTTATTTATTTATTTTTTATCAAATATTCACTTTTAAAGTCCTTACATTAATTTTGGCAAAGGCTAGATTAATACATCATAAAAAAATTTAAGAATGAGAAACTGTCTTCTTTTTTATCCTCCTTTATCCTCTTAAATTTTCTTTAGGTTTATCAGCTTTCCCAGGTCATGAATATAATGAGGTGAGAATGGAGACAAGGCGGCAAAAGGGACATGCTCAATACCTGTTTTAGTTAGGCACCAATTCTCTCAGATAAATTTTCAAAAGATCTGATTCTTGTTCCTGACAAGCCTCGACACCCATATGAACCATTACTGGGATACAGAATTAAGTTTCAATTATTCACTTTGGCAATATTACGTTTGGGAAGATTTTAGCCTGGACACCTCCATATACCAGAGGTGCTATGGTGTCAGGAGATTTGGTTTTGTCTGTACAGGTACAGATTGCCTTGAATATTTCAGTCTTCAAACCAAACAGATTACCTTTCAGAATGCTATATTTTCCTTCCCTTCCCTTACTTGAGTTGTTTGTGTCAGCTAAGTATTTGGGACTCACTTGCAATTCACCTTGATTTACTACAGCCAATTCCTATTGCAAAGCAAGACTGCCTTACTTTTAAAAGGGACCATTCAAGGTTTCTATTAAGTAGAAAGATTATGATTGCATGTCTCTTCTTCCCTCTGAAGAATTGACTAACCTTTAAGCATCTAACATTAAATTTTAAAAAAAGAACCTTGGCAATCTCTTTTTCTAAACAACATGTAGGAAAAAAAAGTTGCCATCTAATACTATAGAGATGGAAACTTACGCCTGAAGTCCCTGAAATAAATGGTCTGCCTGTTGGGATTCAGTAGTTGAATTACAGAGTCATCACTCTTATTGACTTGGCAGCTGATGGTTGCAACTTCTCCCTCGATAACTGTCACGTCTTTCGTAAACAAATTCTGTCCATCACCTTAAAAAAGGAGAAAAAAGTCAGAAAAAATTTCTGTCAATTAAAATTTGGTTAATAGAACTAATCAAAATGAGAAACAGGAAGCATGTCAGATAATGGAAACCAGTAGCAACATGTGATAAGGCTCACATATCTCTCTCTAAAGTCCACAGAATGAGTCTATTAATCCAAGATAGATCTAGGAACAAAGACAGCCAAGCCTGGAATCGACATGCTCTCAGCATTGTGATGCCGACGTCGCAGCCTCCAGTATTTTGTACTAGCTGAGCAGTGTGTGGAGAGAGAGAGAAAGGTCAGAATACTGGCTTTTAGGAGGAGCTCCAGCTGTCACATGTGGAGGGGTGATATGTATACTCAACCTCAGCTCACATGCCCTTGAGCTAAGCTATTTGGTCACCTCACAAAAAACTCAAGGGACTACTTAATAGAAGTGGGAAGGACACACCAGTAAATAATCTTGTCTCGTTAGTGGATGTCGGCATTCCCAATGTACAGTAGACCTGCTATCCACAGGGGATGCACTCCAAGACCCCTGTAGATGCCTGAAACCAGGGATAATAGCAAACCCTATATATACTATGTTTTTTCCTATACGTATCTACCTATAATGTTTAATTTATAAATTGGTCACAGTGTAAGGTTAACGGCAATAATAATAAAGTGGAGTGATTATAACAATATATAGTTGGCTCTTGAACAACATGGGGGTTAGGGGCACCAACCACCCATGCAGTCGAAAATCCATGTACAACACTTGACTCCCCCAGAATGTAATCCTGTTGACCAGGGAAGCCTTACCGATCCTACAAACTATGTAGTAACACATATTTTGTATTTTCTGTGTATTTATATATGTGTGGATATATTATATACTGTAGTCTTACAATAAAGCAAGCTAGAGGAAAGAAAATGCTATTAAGAAAATCATAAGGAAAATACATTTATAGAACTCTATGTATTTATTGAAAAAAATTCACATATTAGTGAGCCCATGAAGTTCAAACCCTTGTTGTTCAAGGGTCAGCTGTACTGTTAATAAAAGTTATATGAATGTAGTCTCTCTCTCTTTCCTGTTCTCTCTCCTAGTTTTTACATTTTTCCATCCAAACCTAGTCCTGAATTTGTTTGACCATCTCTTACTTGCAATAAATGGCTTGGTGTTGTTCGTTGCAAGAGTTCCCTTGCTGTTTGGCTCATTGCTTTCTGGCACAACATGTTGCAATCAATCAAAACATGGTTTCCCTTCAAATCTTCCACCCAGAAATTTAATGCCCTTTCCATCTTAACTAAGCGCTCTACATGTATTGTGACCATAACTTTTGCACTTTGAGGTGCAACAACAAAACTAGCATAAACATCTTTTTTCTTCTTCACAATTTCAAGGATAGATTTGTTCTTGCCGCAGAACTTAGCAACCTCATCATAGAGTTCTTTTTTTCTTTCCTTATTACATCAAGAAGTTTCACCTTTTCACTTAAAGGAGGCACTTTACGGCTTCTCTTTGGCATATCTGAATTGCCAGCATCCCTATTCTTGGGCTTGGGGGCCATTATTAAGTAAAATAAAGGTGACTTGGACACACTGTTGATAGTGTAACAGTCAATCTGACAACTGACAACAGCTACTAAGTGACTAACAGGAAGGGAGCATCTAGTGTAGAGCTGGTGGACACCGGGATGATTCACATCCTGGGTGAGACAGAGCGGGACAACATGAGATTTCATCATGCCTATCAGAACTGCTTATAATTTAAAACTGATGAATTGTTTATTTCTGGAATCTTCCATCTCATATTCTCTGACTACAGTCGACTGTGAGTAGCTGAAACTGCGGAAAGTGAAACCAAGGATAAAGGGCTTCTACTGTATAGGCAGTTCAGCTTTTTTATTGCGTGGGAATGAGAACCTAGTCAACTATAATTCTTTGGAATCTTAATAAAATCCTGGGAAGACTTACAGTTCAGTTTCTTATTCTGCTCTCAGAAACATACACCTTGATTTACCCAAAGTCTCTGGCAGTATTGAACCATTTAGAAACCTCTTTCAGAACATGTCAAAAAGTCAAGGCTTTCAGGTCCACTGATACAAGGCTTATCTCTAGATCTGCTTTAGTTCATTGCTTCTAACCTTAGTGATAGTGGTCAGGGCCCCTCATATATGTCCTAAATGCTCCACAGCACAGGCAGGAGGAGAGAAGAGTTCAATTCAAAAGCAAAAGATGAAGCAATTATCAAGTGTCCAATTCTGTACCTGGCATAGCAGGAGATACAGAAGAATAAGACATCATTCTAGCTTTTTAAAAGCTGCAATGTGGCTGAAAACTGATACCTAATCCCCACATACAGAACCAAAAGTGTAGTATAGGCAATAGCTATAATGGTCAATTATAGGGAAGAGGGAGAGAGAGATTGCTTTTGAGCTGTATGATCTCAGGTAAATCTTTTGAAGATCTTGGGCCAGTTTCTCATGTGCAAAATGGTATGGTAATTAAAAGCTATCTCAGAGCTGTTGAGAGAGTTAAGATAGATATATATAAAACATTTAGCACTGAATAAATGCTTCTCATAAAACTGAATAAATGGTAGCTGCTATCATCATTACAATCACCATCATTTCTCTAGATATCAAACGCAAACATGTGTTGGGAGTAGGGCGGATACAAGATTGAAGGCTCAGTGTCCCTGCTCTCAAGGAGCTCCCATATGTCAACTCAGCACAGCTAATTCACTTCCTTAAGAAACTGTCACATTAAGAAACGAAAGTCAAAGATAAATATTATTCTTTTAAAAATTAGACAGCATAAGTAGAGATGCAATTAGAATAAATGAAGGATTTCCACCTGCTATCATATTTCTGCTGAAGGATCCTTTTTGGCAAGACACAGTGGGAAAGTGTGAGGAGGAGTGTCTAAGACAGCTTTCAGCCAAATTCACCTCGAAATAAGCTAGCCTCTGGTAGAGGATTAGGAAAGAGGAAACTAGAGGGATAAGGAAGAAATTATTAGAGCCCTGACAAACAATAATTCTTGGTGCTTCAGGTATAAACTAGAAGGAAACACAACCTTGAGATCTCTGATCCAGGGAATTAACCTGAGTGTGAGAACACAGGCCCACAGGGTTTATAGTGAATGAAAGGATACATCTGCCCTAGCCTGATCCAGCAGTGCAAACTTAGTGGACTGAGCGGTGTTATAGAATAATAACAAAGAGAAAAAGAGATCACAACCAAAGAAGGGATGCTTCTTTTCCTTGGTAGATTCCTGTGGCAAACACAGAATTCAGAACCCAGATGAAGGGTGCGGTTTATTCCGAGAGTTGAGAAAAGAAAAAGGAAAAGGGAATTCCTGCCAATCAAGTAAGTGTTTCAAGGTGGTTTTCTTGGCCCAGGTAAAAGTATGTACAGAAAGGAAAATACTATTATTTCCTTCGGGTAACCCAATCTAGTAAGAAAATGAAGGAAAAATTTAACTACACGATTCAAATGCTCTAACTGTTTCAAGTCATGGGATTTGCTTTGAGGAGATTAGAACGCCAAACTGGGTCTACTGGGTTGTGAGGGAGATTACTTCTATCTGAAGGAAGTCTATTAGCAACACAAATGAGAATCTTCCATTTACAAAAGGAAGATAGGGTGACAGACTTTAATCCCTGCAACATAAACCAAGGCCTTGGAGATACTGCTGTCTTGCAACTACTGTGACTATGTAAAACCAGCTGCAATTCAATTATGCTGTTAATTGAATAGCTCCTGTGGAAATAACTACATACTTTTAGTCTTTACTTGGAATCCTAGCACATTCTGAGTAGCACTCTCTATTCATATTCTGGCTATAAAATATCTGCACAGGGGATGAGAGCAGGGAGGAGTTGACTATGATTTTGCGTTTTAAGCAATGAAGGGGCTTTTTGTTTGTTTTTTTAAAAGCCAAACATTCTTAATTATTACTTATAATTAAGTAATATAAGACCAGATCACCTCAATGTGTCATTATGGAACAAATCATTCAGGTAAAATATTGGCCATCTGCAAATGTCAGCCCTCACTGTGTTCTGGCACATAATGTGCTCTGCAAATCCATGGTGGTATCATCATTATTAGTGGGTTATTTTTTGAAATTTCTAAGGCCAATCTGAAATTCTGTGTTTCAGAAAATGACAATTCCTAGCTATGTTAACATGGTCACAACACTAACGCCAAAAAATTGTAAGTGATAATGAAATATTTTGCTGAAAGATATCTAACTCCTTGGCTGATGACAATAGTCCAAGGATGTCACTCTGTAAAAATCACCAATAAATTATACGGGTCAACCGGACAGCAGTTACATTAAACAGAGTTCCATACTTTGAGGCGCCATAAGATAGCTGAAATGGAATAATAATGACCTATTTATTTGAGGCAAAGGAAGTGAATGACAGTGATGAAAATATATGTATGTCAGTACTCTTAACTGCCTGAAGCCTTTATGTAAAAATAATTTTTGCTCACATCCTCAAATATTTCTTCCAAACAGAAGGGTGCACTGTGACTTGATAAATTTCCCCTTGAAATAGATGGCAATTAAGTTGTTACAAAACACATTTTGATGTGTAGCAGAAGGGTACAAACAGGCAACTTTGGTGCCTTTCTTAAATAATTCACTTCAAAAACCTTTCCGATTTTCTAAAACTTAATTAACAGATACAATGTCAAGTCAGAAATAACACATGTTCTGCGCAAAGAAAAGCAAGTCGGTACAATATACCATAGTCATTAAATAAGACTGTTAATAGAGCAAGGTAATTTATTTTAAAGGGTGGAACAATGTCTGACATGTATAGACATTTTTGACTGCTAATTGGTATATTCAGATGAGGTTTATGAGACAGAATCAAACAAAATTTTAATTGATATGAGCCTCTGTACTCCCTATAACTTCCCTATTTGCCCCACAATTTCTAAAAATAAAACTTGGGCATTGGAGAAGCCCATTCACTCACAGGCAAGTCTCAATCGTAAACT